ATTAAATTTTTTCTTTTTTTTTTTTTTTTTTAACTATCATAAACCCATTCGTAGGATATCACGAAAAATTATCAGAACTATATTCCACGTTTTCTTATTTATCGATTCAACAGAATCAAAGGGAACACTTAAGGGGAAGAATCTATTCAATAGAATTAATAATGCTGTCGTGTAATACGTTAAAAAAACGTCAGACGTTCAGCGTTCGACGTTCGTTTCATAAAACTTGACGACGCCATTAAGAATCTAACTGTTATTCTGATAACAATTATAGTTAAACGTGAATAGTTAACGTATATACTTTTATACATATCGTATAAAATGGAAACGGGAACGTTTGTGTTTTATTACGACAATTGATTACGAAACGAATTGAGATTAGGGAACATTTTGATCGTAAAAAATAATAAATCGTCTGAATGACGATCATTTAAAAAATCGATCTAACCTCCTCGAGAGAATTGGAACGTGTAGGGAATAACGAAATTGAAAAAAAGAAAAAATTTTATATATACATATATATATATATATATATATATATATATATATATACACATCATAAAAAAAAAAGAAAAAGAAACGAGGAAAAGAATTTGAAAAAAAAAATTAACAAAAAATAAATAAATAAATAAATAAATAAATAAATAATTGAAGGAAGGAGAAGAGAAAAGAAAAGAAAAAAAATGGGCAGAGCTCGATGGTGTAGAATTTTGAGTAGAATTCGCGTCTGACTCGTAGGGGCTGGAAATGGCGGCATTGCTGGCAGTGGCGACATTGGTAGTGGTGGAGGAGGAGAAGGAGGAGGAGGAGGAGGAGGTGGTGGTGGTGGAGGTGGAGGGGTTGTCATTGGTGGTGGAGGACTCGAAAGGACAAGTTATGGAAGCGGCGGCGGCGGCGGTGGAGGTGGAGGTGGAGGTGGTGGTAGTGGTGGTAGTAGTGTTGTTGGTGTTGGTGTTGGTGTTGGTGTTGGTGTTGGTGTTGGTGTTGGTGTTGGTGTTGGTGGTGGTGGCGGCGGACGACCACAGCCACGTGCACGACGCACGCAACGTCGTGTCACGCACAACGAGAAACGCTATCATTCAGGTAGCGTCACGCATCTCACGATTCTACTGCTCTTTTTTTTCTTATTTTTTTTTTTTTTTTTTTTGTTTTTTAATCCTGGTATTTTTCTGTTTTCTTTCTTTCTTTCTTTTTCTTCTTTTTTTTTTCTTTTTTCATTTTTTCTTTTGTTCTTTTTGCTTTTTGTTTTTAACCCACTGATTGCTCTCTCTCTCTCTCTCTCTCTCTCTCTCTCTCTCTCTCTCTCTCTCTCTCTCTCTCTCTCTCTCTCTCTCTCTCTCTCTTTCTTTGTTACCAACATTTTTCCCATTTTATCATTTCAAGGTGAAATATCGGCGGCACATGCAACATTCGATACGTCGAGTGTGACTCGTTATGATGAATTTTAATTTTTTTTCGTTTCTTTTTTTTTCCAAGTATTAATTACAAAAAAAATTATTTCTCTCTCTCTCTCTCTCTCTCTCTCTCTCTTTATGATCGTTTCGAAAAGAAATCAATTCCAGATAAAATGTCTTGTTCTTTAAAAGGAAAGAAATAAAAAAAGGGAGATTGAGAGAGAGAGAAAGAGAGAGAAAGAAAGACAGACAGACAGACAGACAGACAGACAGACAGAGAGAAAGAGAAAGAACGTCGAGACGAGTTTGTCGTATCTCTCGAGAAACGTCAAAACCTCGAGACACCTATTTTTCTCGATTCTGGATAGATACGAATGATTCGTAGTTCGAACGTAGGTTCTTTCTAATTTTCTTTCTTTCTTTCTTTCTTTCTTTTTTCTTTTTTTCTTTTCTTTTTTTTTTTTTTTGGAAATCGCCCGGAGAAAGGTGTAGAACGAAAAAGCAACGTGAAACGAGAAAGCAAGCAAGCAGCAGCGCAACGTTGAATGGCTGTCAGGCCGGCGGGTACTCAACGAATAATTGCAGTGCCGTTGTCCTCACCTTAATTAAGCATAGGATATTCCCCCTCCCGGCCACCCCTCTCATCGTGCTTTCTCGTGCTTTCGCCGCCATGAAGTACTTATTCGCCCCCGACGAATTTTTTGCACGATCTTGTGTCTCCCCTCTTTCCGTGCATTATATTATTACTACCGCTAGAAATCTCTTGCTAGAATACGATTAGATAGATCATATTCGTTCCATATCTCATTCGTTCCATTGTCCATTTGACATAACTAACAATACGAATTGTAAGCATTACGTAGTAAATCATATGATCTGTTATTCTTCAGATAAAATGCATCTCACATTCTATTTTCATGTATATTTCCTATATACAACATAAATATACGTATACGTATATGTATGTATGTATTTATGTATATTTGTTTGTATGTATAGATATATATATATATATATAAATCTAGTTATGATTTAGGAATATTTAACTACGTAATTATCGTTCGTACGTAAATCACTTTTTTTTTTATAATCATCTTCATCTTAAT